GAAACTAAGGCTACAAATACTGCTTTAGAAAGCCCAATGGTAGACTTGAAGTAGTGACATTACTTTTTCATTAATCCCATTCTATTTCTAGCAAACCAGAGTTTAAAAGAATTGTCCAGAATCCAGGGAGATAAACAACAATGTACAATTCGTAGCCCTGAAACATACACTGAAGCAGACACAGAGTCCCTTAAAAAAAAATTAAAAGGAGTATACAATACATGATTTAAACACCTACAACTTTGATCCTGCATTCTCCTCCCTCTGGATATCTTCTCTTCCCAGGTCTATTCCTTCACGAGTGCTAATTTGTGATGAATTATAGAACTCATTGTTATAGGCCACAGCAGGTACAAAATTATACATGGTTTTCAAAAACTAATAGTCAAATTCATAACAGAAAAAAAATCAAGGAATTTTCAGAACAGAAAGATTATTAAATAACCCATGGAGTGCATATGGCCAGAGACGCTGCCATATACTTCGACTATGAACATATTCCACCCTGTGCAGCTGCCACTGGAAAACACCATCGTGCTGAATTGATCTTCGACCCCAGCCAGTATGGATGCTCTTAAATTCTCATTTCAGTCATAGGTGTCAGCACACCCAGTGGGATGGAACCCAAACCCAACCAATAGGAAAGTGCTGAACCACATGCAAGGCTCTCTCTGGTTTTAAGTTGAAACACCATTTCTGCACTTCCCCAGCTTCTGCACTTCCACCAGGCTCCTGCCCCCTTCTCTCAAAGGCCATAAACCCACCAACTCCTGTTGTAAGAAGAGTTCAACTTGAAAACCCTCACTAATCCTCACTGCTTCATATACAACAAATGCATCAAGCATTGTTATCTCCATTGCTTGTCAGATTTGCAAGAAGCTTGCCTGACAACAGCTATGGAAAGGTTTCTCTGGTGTTTTTCTGTTCAGCCCAAGAGATTTTAGGACTGCAGAAATAAAATCTAATGAGTGAGTTTATATTTAGCCTTCCAATTTAATCAATCCTTGCAGACCGATATATCAACACTGTATCTTATGTCTGTCTTTCATTTATTCCAAGTTTACATTTTGAAATAATAATCAACATAGTGCAATTAATCCACACTTGGAAAAATGAAGTCAGCTTTATCTAAAAGCCCTCTAATTTTAAAAAATGTTGGAACGTGAAGAAAAATGATACAAAGGAAAACATCCCATCAGCTGAGAATCCAATCCTTAGGCTAATATGAAATAAAACTGCAGAACAAAATCTCTTTTTCCTGATCAGTTTGCTGCCATCACAGTAGTATTTTTTCCTCTAAAATAAAAATAAAACCAGCATTTTTTATTATGAAAAATATATATATATATAAAAAAAGTTAAGACTATCATAAAATCTCTTAATTTCTAACACCGATTTTACCAAATCTCCTATATTTAGCATGGTCATAAATTCCCTTAGGTTTCATATGGCTGCTATTAAGCACAATTTGCGCTGATTTAATACTAAGGTGAAGCCTGAATGGTACCTACTCACTATTCTTATTTCAATGGGACCAAAACTGAGAAACAGAGTTGTCACTGTCAGAAAACTAGTCTCACTTTTCCACTTCATCCTGCCAGTGGACTTGTCTATCTCCTATTGCACACTGCTAACTTCCCCACATTGTGCTTAATTCTTCAGGGAAAATACGCACTTACCTAATTAGACTCAAGACACAAGCAATGACAAGTAAGTCAAGATTGTTGGACAAAGCATTCTTTGTGACATATCCTGAAACTTTACAATGAATAGCCCACATTACATCATATATAACCACAATTTTTAGCTTGTCTTGAGCCGCAAAAGGGGCAAGTGTCTTAGGCATTTACAAAGTAATGTATGCCTATTTGTACTCTTCAAAATGCCAGGCAGTTGTGGCCTTTACAGACCTCTCCCTCAGCATCACGTGAGAGCAAATTTGTACACTAGTATACAGTGACGAAGGAGAAGTAAGAATTCTTTAAATTATTTATAGAACATCTACTGCTCCTGAAGAAGGCCATGCCACGTAGCCTACAACTGGCCCAAGGAATCCTATGAAAGTATAACATGTAAACCATGTAGTAGCTCTTCTCTATTAAGAGTTTGTGAAGCTCAAGGTAGTTTACAAATTACCTACATGAGTAGAACAGAATCTTCCTCTATAATACTAGTTTCTGATAACTGATAGCAACCAAGTTTTTACTGGATCGCTCCTACAACCAAACTCAATGATGAATGAAAAAGACACTTCTCTCCCCACATGTCTGACTTTTAACTTTCCTGTTTCTGGTTTTTATGCTTTTGTTTGGTTTGGTTTTGTTGTGGGGTTTGTGTTTTTTTGGGGGGGGGGGGTGGTGGTGTTTGTTTTGGGGGGATTTTTTGGTTTGTATTTTGGTTTGTTTTGTTGGTTTTTTTTTAATCAGAACAACTCAAAACCCTACAAACCTTTCACTGGAGGTGGCAAACACATAATCCCTCTCCCTCAGGAATAACACAGCTGAAAGGAAGCATAATCCTAAAATCCTGAATACAAACTAAATAACATTACTACTGTTAGCTAAACCAAGGGGAACTCACACATACCAGTATAATTGATGACTTGAACTAGCATGGGATAGGAACTAGTGAGGACCAGAGGAAGACTTCACAACACTGTTAGTTCATGTCACTTTCTACCATCAGTGACTGTACTGCCTTTCCACTAGCATAACTAAATTTTAAGTTAGGACAGGAGAAACAACTAACTGAAAACTACACACTGCTATAAACAAGGTTACAGAATGAGACTGGGCTATAGTTTAAACTAACAATTGATTTTCTTTTGTTTTCTATCAGGACAGAGAAATAGACTTGCCTTTATGACATAAGATATTAAATTCTAACACTACAAACCATCTAAAGAACAACTCTTATCTACAGCAACCGATTAAGAAATACTCACTTTGGCAATCAAAGCTGCTTCCATACAGCTACAGAATCATGAATCAGCTGTAGCTTAGTATATGTAAAAGGTGATATTAATTCCATTTCAGCTTTAGTGCCATCTGTCTTGGGAACACGTAGGTCTTCTGGACAATCACCCTGCTAGTTGAGCTCCACAAGGCTTGACATTCTGAAACATTTTAATTATTTGCATTTAATAAAATAGGTTTACAACATTGTCAGAGATGCCAATTAAATCCTTCAGACAGTGGAAACAATAACATAATAAATACTTAACTTGTCAAGCATCAGTGTATCTACAACCCCTCAGTTTCCTAAGGATACTCTGATATGATACTTTGAGAACTTGCACAATACATTACAGAAAATGGGATGCCTCCCTAACCATTGCAAAGCACATTAGTAGGAAAAGAATAATATCCTTACTTAAAGCTTGACAAAATGTCTGTTTCCCATTCACAGGTCAGCATCAAGAACTGCAACAAACTGCATCAAGAAAGAGGTGGAAGAATGACTGTGTAGCCTTTCAGGGAGGATAAAACCAGCCACATGCTACACGAAAGACTGCTGAAAGATGGAGTTGATATTCATAAAGCAAGTATTTGGAGTTTTAAAAATAACAAACAAGGCACAAGAGTTTCCCAGATAGGTAATATTCAGTTGATATATACCAGCTAGTCCTATTTTTTCTAACCAGTTTTAAAGAAAATCTGGGTATACAATAATCACTCGTTCCTGCTGTTTATGAAGTATCATTTCCTATTTGTTCCCCTTTCTAATTTTGTTTGACAGGTATAAATAGCCTACCTGATGTAACCAACACAACTCTAGAAACCAAACATACTGCCAGGTTTCAAGCTTATCTGCACTAATCCGAGTCTTACTTCACACCCATACATTAGGCTCCCTCCTACTAGCTACCCTGAACTTCTCTTACGCACACAACTTCCTTATGTCAATCTTGCAATTAACATCCACATATACTTGCCAAAGGACGCCAACTCTTCTATGAAACATTCCAACCATGAAGACCACACCCCCTTCAGGCTCTTTCATCACCCCATTTTGCAACCTGAAAATAAGCTTCTCTTGGGAAGGCAACTCATAAGTGTTCAGCACTTTTCAATTTGTAAAAACATCTTATCTAATAAAAAAAGGCACATGTGTGATGTTGCATCAAGGACCAGGTGATTCTTATGCTTGTAGATCAGGTCAGGGAAGAGATGTATCTGCATTTTCATCTGTCAGCTGACTAGTTTCACTGCAGAGTAAGATGAAGTAAGATGATCCAATGACAAACCAAAGTCTATGATCCTCTACCCCTTATTCATCAGCTTTTGTTGTAAAATTATTTCTAAAGTTTCTATGCTCAATTTTTAAGCACAGGTAGAGAAGATGAGTCTTTCCTCCTTCAATTCTTCCTGTATCCTACAGTGTACCTGCTAGAGTCAGAGGGAAAAAATAAAAATGTACATTCTTCACATGACAGGCTTTTCAACTATTTCATACTCCATAGTCTGAATGACACAGAGGTATTCTGAAACAAAAAAAAAAAAAAAAACAACCAGTCTTTCCAACTCAAGAAAATCCTGGTGTGCAGTCTGCGGAGTTCTCATCAGTATGCCACTGATAATCTGTCACTGAGTTGGAGGTTATAGAGGTCACGTTCTATTGTTTTCCAGAAGTTGCAGGGCACTAAGAGATGGCTAAAGCACATTTCATAATTTCCATAAATTTATTTCACATGTAAGCAGTTTCTGTGGTTGGCACAGGAATATTATGCAACTGTCATCCTCTTGGAACATACTGTATAGTACTGGACAAGAACTGAATCACCAAACATTAACAGGATGCTCCAGAGCCCACATTATCCAAATGCAGCTCAGTGCTACTAGAGCCTCTACCTGACTGAAGTCTCAAGCCCTGTTTCCAGAAGACAGACATCCATACCACAAAACCCAATCTTGACACACAGCATTCCAGAAAGCTCATGGTTCAGCAAACAGACTTCTATTATGAATTACCAACTATACACACACACACTCTTACTTTACCTGCAATTAAAGCAAGTCAACAGGTCAGCAAGGAAAAACTTGTTCTAGCAGCTGTTCCCTTTGGTGGACAATCTAGATTAAAGTTTCTTCAGCTGACATCGTTCAGCTGCATTCAGCTTTCCACTACAGACCAGGAAACGAAAAGAAAGCAGAAAAGTAAAAATTATCATAGTCTATTAATAGAAATTACCTGCCCAAGAGTTAAATGAAATTTGGCAATTTAACAACAGGGAAAAGGGGAACGAACCATCTTAAAATCAGCAGCATGATAAAAATCTCAATTATACAAGAGAAGCAGTAACAAAGTATATTCCTCAGCATGAGATAGGTCTGCCCAGGCAAGATCAGAGTTTCAAGCCTTCCACCACTCCCTGGGTGAGAAACCCTTAAACACCAATGCCATCATCAGCTATGAGGCCACACCACTGCAGAAGAAATCCGCACTTCCCTTGCTCGCTGCCCCCTGTTCACTGCTGCAACCCAAAACCATTTGCATCCATGTTGCGCCTCAAAAACACTTGCGCATCACACACTGAATATGACTGAGGTAATTAAACTGTTCTTGGCTAAAAAGTAACCACGGGGAAAAAAAAAAAAATGCAAAACCAGAAAAAAGTGGTATGACACTGAATGCTAAAACGGGCTATGCTGCCAAAAAGCTGATTACAAACCTCAATTTTCAGACAGGAAATACATCATACCAACATCTTGTTAAACAAGCTGAACACATTCAAAGGCAAAGGAGAAGAAATCCAAACCTTTCTGTCAACACAGGAGTCATTTATATTAAATTTATATTTGACATGTAACAAGGCTACACACATATGAAAAAATGCAAGTATGAAAAGGGTGTCTGTTCATTTACACAGTGCTTAGCATTCAAAATTGATTTTACAGACATCCTGCTAACCTGTCTGGCAGAAATTCTTCCAGACTACACAAATTAATTCAAAATAGGGAGGCTGTCACTTTTTCTGTCTTACAAGCAAGGAGGTAATATTCTGAAATAGTTTTTAGCATGCTGAAAGGAATCATAAAAAAGTTAAAAGATATATATATATCAAGGGAGGAAACAATTATTTTGCAAAAACATAACTTTTGGCTAAGAACTCACAGTTTAGACCAGGTCCTTAAACAGCTTTCCCATTGAAGCAACATGAACAAAATTAAAAGCTCATAGGAAGACACTATTGGTTTATTCATCACAAATATAACACAGTTTCAGTACAGGCTAGACTACATGATTCAAGAGATCCCTAGCCATTTTATTTTAAGGATTATTATACTGGTTTCTCTGCAGAGTTAACTAGAAAACTCTTAAGAGTCTTTTAGCATCAATATTCCCCTCTTAAAACAAAGAGGTTGTCCTAAAAATTATCATTTCACTTGAGTAAACTGGCTACCAGGGGAACCTCTCTGTCCTCCAAACCATATCTAGGACATGTCCTGCCAGTGCTTTAATGCAACCATGCTCAAGCCTGTGCCTCTGAATAACAGAAAATACTTCATGCCAACATGGAACCAGATTAATCCAGAGAATGCTATGAGCTAAGAGTTGGGGATTTTTTGTTAAAGTACCCTTTAAATAACATGTAGGGATTTATTTTTTTTTCACAGAATCACAGAATAGTTAGGGTTGGAAAGAAACTTAAGATCATGTACTTCCAACCCCCCTGCCGTAGGCAGGGACACCTCACACTAAACCATCTCACCCAAGGCTCTATCCAACCAGGCCTTGAACACTGCCAGGGATGAAGCATTCACAACTTCCCTGGGCAATCCATTCCAGTGCCTCACCACCCTTATAATAAACAACTTCCTCCTTATATCCAATCTAAACTTCCCCTGTTTAAGTTTTAACCCGTTACCCCTTGTCCTGTCACTACAGTCCCTAATGAAGAGTCCCACCCCAGCATCTTTATAGCCACACTTCAGATACTGGGAGGCTGCTGTGAGGTCTCCACGCAGCCTTCTCTTCCCCAGAATGAACAGCTCCAACTGTCTCAGCCTGTCCTCTTACAGGAGGTGCTGCAGTCCCCTGATCATCCTCGTGGCCCTTCTCTGGACTTGTTCCAACAGTTCCATGTCCTTTTTATGTTGAGGACACCAGAACTGCACACAATACTGCAGGTGAGGTCTCACAAAAGCAGAGTAGAGGGGCAGGATCACCTCCTTCGACCTGCTGGTCACGTTCCTTTTGATGCAGCCCAGGATACAGTTGGCTTTCTGGGCTACAAGCGCACACTGCAGCTGGCTCATGTTCATTTTCTCATCGACAAACACGCCCAAGTCTTTCTCTGCAGGGCTGCTCTGAATCTCTTCTCTGCCCAACCTGTAGCTGTGCCTGGGATTGCTCCGACCCAGGTGTAGGACCTTGCACTTGGCATGGTTGAACTTCATGAGGTTGGCATCAGCCCACCTCACAAGCGTGTCAAGGTCCCTCTGGATGGCATTCCTTCCCTCCAGCGTATCAACCGAACCACACAGCTTGGTGTCATCGGCAAACTTGCTGAGGGCACACCCAATCCCACTGTCCATGTCACCCACAAAGACGTTGAACAAGACCGGTACCAACACCGATACCTGAGGGACACCACTCGTTACTGGTCTCCAGCTGGATATTGAGCCATTGACCACAACCCTTTGTGTGCAGCCATCCAGCCAGGTCTTTATCCACCGAGTGGTCCCCTCTATCAAATTGATGTCTCTCTAATTTAGAGACAAGGATGTCGTGTGGGACAGTGTCGAACGCTTTACACAAGTCCAGGTGGATGACATCAACTGCTCTACCCCTGTCCATCAGTTCTGTAGCCCTATCATAGAAGGCCACCAAATTGGTCAGGCAGGACTTCCCCTTAGTGAAGCCATGCTGGCTGTCACCAAGCACCTTGTTGTTTTTCATGTGGCTTAGCATGCCTTTCAGGAGAATCTGCTCCAAGATTTTGCCAGGCACAGAGGTGAGACTGACTGCTCTGTAATTCCCCGGGTCATCCATTTTCCCCTTCTTGACAATGGGGGTTATATTTCCCTTTTTCCAGTTGTCGGGAACTTCACCTGGCTGCCATGATTTTTCAAATATGATGGACAGTGGCTTAGCAACTTCATTCGCCAGCTCCTTCAGGACCCGTGGATGGATCTCATCAGGAGGCATGGACTTGTGTATGTTCAGGTTTTTAAGACAGTCTTGAAGCAGATCCTCTCCTACAGTGGGCCCAAGGTCCTCATTCTCACAGACCCTGCATCTACCTTCTAAGACTTGGGTGGTGTGGTCAGAGCATTTGCCAGTGAAGACTGAGGCAAAGAAGTCATTCAGAACCTCAGCCTTCTCCAAATCCAAGGTAGCCAGTTCTCTCGACAATTTCCAGAGGGGGCCTACATTGTCCCTAGTCTGTCTTTTATTTGCTACATACCTACCAAACCCCTCCCTGTTATCCTGCCATCCTTAACATCCCAAGCCAACATCATGGCCAATGAAGAAGAGTCATATGAGGAACAATCCCATTTCTGATCTGGCTAGTGCATGTTTTCCATTGTATGCTTAATAAAATATAACACATAAGACTGGTGCCATATTATCCTAATATATTCAGTGTTTCAGCTTCAACTGTAAGACTTAGTGAATCTTTGTTACTACTACTGAGGCAATAAAGAAAATCACAAAGGTCTGGTCTTTTGTAGTCTACAAAAGCATGATTTCTCTACGATATGCAGTTAAACTGCAGGTTTTAAAGAGAAGGGATTCAGAATATGGAGAGATTCTCTGATCACACATATGTAAAAAAAAAAAAAAAAATCCAGATCTGAAACTTTAACAATAAGCTATGGTAACTTTCCAGAACTCAAGTGCCTTTAGCTTCCCAACTCATTTAAAAACAAACAAACAAAACCAAAAACCCCACAAACACACACCTGAGGTCAGAGAGCAAAAGAAGACTTAGTCTAGTATCTGAAATTCCAAGAACTTAAATAATCTAAAGAAACTCCAATTTCCAATCAGGATTTTGTATTTCATTTAAAAAGCTGTAACTAAATTAAAGCACTGCAGTTGTAACTAAACAGTGTGTCAGAAAAAGAGAACTCAAAAAGTTTCTGCCTCCCCGATTCTGAAAACTGAGACAAATGAAGACAATATGAAATAGCAGGTGAACTGCTCACAAAAAAAAAAAAAACAAAAAAAAAACAACAACTAGATATTTTTAAGAGTTATTTAAAATTACGATTATCAGGAAAAAAAATGTATTAGCTTACATTGCTTGGATAGCCTGAAATTCTCTCCTAAAATGGGTGTTATAAGTATATTAAAAAGCTTGAGAATACAGAATCGTAGAATAGTTAAGGGTTGCAAAGGACCTTAAGATCATCAAGTTCCAACCCCCTACCCTGGGGAGGGACACCTCACACTAAACTGTGTAACCCAAGGCTCTGTCCACCCTGGCCTTGAACACTGCCAGGGATGGAGCATTTACCACATCTTAGGGCAACATGTTCCAGTGCCTCACCACCCTCACAGTAAAAAACTTCTTCCTTACATCTAACCTGAACTTCCCCTGTTTTAATTTAAACCCATGTAAAAATAATTATTTCATAGTAGTAACCTTCATGAATTAAGATGTTCTACTTTATACCTTGGTATCATCAGTATCAGAATATAAGGCAATTTTTCAATGTTTCTTCAGCCCACAGCAGAGCAGTGTGTCAAACCTCCTTTTAACAGGCAGATTACAGGGACATCCTCAGAATGGCAAAGCTTTTTCAAGGATTTGTGAGTGTGTAGCCAAGAACCAGCCATCCTCTTTTACACAACTGAATTTGAGCTACAGATTATACTGCATTTTATTTGAGACTAAAGTTGTCCTTAGAGACTGTACTACACCCCATGTATCATAACCTACACCACTACCCAGGCTATGAAAGATGCATGCCCTTGTGGTTTGGGAAATTTAAATTGCTTTCCTTATCTTTGCCTTTCCTGTGAAAGCCCAAGAAAATAACCCCAGAAACCACAGCCTACAGATTTATGAATCAACACAGAGACTCCCATTAGCAACATATGCCATTCAAAATCTCACAGAAACAGCAGATGGACTTTAAAACATTAAAAGAG